ACTGAGCCACCCAGGCGCCCGTATTGTGGGAAATTTTAAATGCACATGCTAATATAGAGAATGGCATAGTGGACCCCCCAGGTGCCATCACAGACTTTCTTCAGTCAGTAACTACTCATGGATAGTTTTATTTCATCTCTTATCAGCGCTCATTGCTTATCCTCCCGTACCTGCCCCCCAGTTATTTTTTTTAAAGATTTTATTTGTTCATTTGACAGAAAAACAGCACAAGCAAGGGGAGGGGCAGAGGGAGAGGGAGAAGCAGGCTCCCTGAGGCTCGATCCCAGGACCCCAGGATCATGACCCAAGCCAAAGGCAGACACCCAACTGACTGAGCCACCCAGGCGCCCCACCCCCAGTTAATTGGAATTAAATCTTATACATCATCTCTTCTCCTGTATCAGGATGTGTTTTAAAAACCACAACATAATTACACTTTAAAAAAATGATCTCACTTAAAAGAGCTAGTATTCAGATTTTTCCAGTTATCTCATAAATGGTTTTTTGGGGTTTTTTTTAAAGATTTTATTTATTTATTTGACAGAGAGATAGAAAGAGAGCACAAGTAGGCAGAGTGGCAGGCAGAGGGAGAGGGAGAAGCAGGCTCTCCACTGAGCAGGGAGCTGGACGTGGGGCTCGATCCCAGGACCCCAGGATCATGACCTGAGCCGACGGCAGCCACTTAACCGACTGAGCCACCCCGGTGCCCCTCTCATAAATGGTTTTTATGGTTCAAATCAGCACTCATGTATGGTCCATACATATGTCTCTTTATAATCTATAGAGTGCCCTTCCATCTTTGCTCCCCTTCTCTGCAATTTATCTGTGGAAGAAACAGTCACGGAGTCATTTGTCATGTAGATTAACATACAGTCTGGATTTTGCGGATCACATTTCATGGTGTGGCTAAACTGTTTCTTTTCCCCATAAGTGTGTAGTTAGATGAAAAGGTTTGATCAGATTGCAGTTGGTTTGTTTTTTTTTTCCAGGATAATTGAGAGCTAGTGGTGTGTACTTCCATCGGGACACATATGTCTTCTTGGTTCCTTTTCTGTCAGTAGCCATCAGTGCTCACTGCCTACATCCATGAATTAGATTTCTGTACCTCTCAGTGGCTCAAAATTTTCCATCTCCTTGTCTCTCTGTGCTTCATTCTAAGTGATTTCTTCAGTTATAAATTTCAATTTGCTGTTACCATTCTTCGGGTATTTCTAATCTGCAGTTTAACCTGTTGACTTTTTAAAGTTAAAAACATTTAAAATTTTTAAGTCATTTCTTAAAAATTTCATTTTGTTTCAAGTGTGTCCATTCCTAATCTTGAGTTGTCATCTTTGTGTCTATATTTTTAATTCTTTGAATGTTTTGTACAGAACACACAACCACTATATATCTGACAGTTCTGATGTTGGCAGTCTTTGGAGGTCTAAGTCCATTGCTTATTATCTCCTGCCTCTCATAGTAGTTTCCTTCCTTATGTGTCTGACGATCTTTGAGATCATTGCTTGATCTTAGTCAGGGGGTGTCATATGGGCCTGAAACGGGGTTGAGGATATTTATCTGTCAAGAGGATTTGCCTCCGCTTTGCAGTGGCTGTAAGATGCAATCCACCTCCATCTACATCAGCACCCCTTTGAGGCTCTCGCGAGAGACCCGGGCTCCGCGTCTCCACTTATATCTGGCATCAGGCTCGGTTTCCAGAGAGCGGAGTTGCCATGGCCATTTGCCTCTGGCAGCCCTGCCTCTCCCAGCTGCCCACCCCTCTGGTTCCGGCCCTGATCCCAATTTCTCGTTGCTCTGCTCCCAGCTCAAGTTTAGCTTTTTGGTTTTTGTTTTTGGAGGGACTCCTTGGAGATTTCCGCCACCTCTTGTTGAGACCAGGGGTGTCTTCAAGTATATAATTTGCTCTGGGAATATTCTGAGGACTTGGTCAGTCATGATGCCGGAAGTGGGGAAGTCTGTTGACACCAGGACACTTGACTCTGTGTTCGTGTGTGTGTTTATTTCTACAGGAATTCATTGAAGAGTTACTGTCTCCCCCTTTTGGGGGTCTGGTGGCATTTGTGAAGGAAGCTGAGGCTTTGATTGAGCGTGGACAGGCTGAGCGACTTCGAGGGGAAGAAGGTATGAAGATGATGTGGTAGTGGTGGGGTCAGTGGTAAGGGGAGTGGAAAAGAAAAATGGGAGGATGCAGATTCCACGGGGAGGGGTAGAGCAGGAAAATGGGGTTGGATGCTGAGGAGGGCTGTGCCTTGTGGAGGACTTAGGGGTCAGAGATCACCTAGCCAGGTCCTCCTCTGACACCCTCCATGTTTCCTCCTGCCATCAGCCCGGGTTACTCAGCTGATCCGTGGCTTTGGTAGTTCCTGGAAATCATCAGTGGAGTCTCTGAGTCAGGATGTAATGCGGAGTTTCACCAACTTCAGAAATGGAACCAGTATCATCCAGGTGACTTGTAGCTCCCGGGCCTTACTCCCCCCTCAGCTCCCGTCACTAGTGGTTTTCCCTGGGCTCAGCATCGTCCAGGTGACCCTTGATCTTCAATATCCAGCATGCCCAAAGTTCTGGATGAGCCCTAGCCTAATTCCTAACGTCATCTTTAGCACCACCACCCCACAGCCTGATCCTTCCATGACTTTCTCTGACCAGGGAGCTTTGACCCAGCTGATCCAGCTCTATCATCGCTTCCACCGGGTGCTCTCGCAGCCCCAGCTCCGAGCTCTCCCTGCCCGGGCTGAGCTCATCAACATTCATCACCTAATGGTGGAGCTCAAGAAACACAAGCCTAACTTCTGATGTGCTGGACCCTGGGATCCACCGGCCTTCTCTATGGACTTCTGTACCCCGTCCCAGACTCTTCTTCACCTGGGGTTTCCTTACCGGTTTTCCACCTGCCTCCCAGGTCCTTGACATGCCTTACCCTGCCTTCATTCTCTGGACCCTGCCTCATTAGGATAAGCTGGATCCCCTTGTTTTCAGGTGTACTGAAACCTGGGACCACTTCCCCCGGGCTTCCAAAACAGCCTTTATAATTTTCCCAATTTCACTACCCCTCACCCCCCGCACCCAAGTTCTCTTCCCCCAGTAAAACCTTCACTGTCTCAATCTTTGGTTTACTCAACTCTTGTTATCATGTCCTGAGGCGCAAAGCCTCAACTCTTGGAATTGGTGGCAAGGCAAGTCATTGATTTTTTTCCCTCCACTCAGTGATTTCTTTTCTGTAGCTTTTTGACCTAAGATCTCAGAAACCTGAACACTAACCAGTCCCCTCCTGGCTTGAGAGTTACTCCAAGGCCAGTCTGCAGAAAACAATATTTAATATGACATAACACTCTTTTCCCATCTCCTTCCTCCCAGGGCCTTCAAGTGGCCCTCATTTCTGCTCCAAGGTCACCTTTCGGCTGTGGCTGCCTCCTGGGCTTACCTCCCTTCTGGTGCCTGTCCAGAAAGAAGGGATACAGATAGTAACCTTTAACCTCTAGCTGCTTCAGGCCAAAGAAATGGCTGCATTTCTTTGGCCTGGGAGGTTTTAGGGAGGGGACTAGTTCATGAGTAACCAACTTGATGAAGGAAGGTGGCCCCTGGTTAAAATGGCAAATGCCTCAAAAAATAAATAAAATGGCAAATGCCTCAAGGGCTGGGAACATGGCTGTGCGGCCTCAGGCACTGTCCCACAGGCTACCTTGGTTCCCCAACGCGGGCTTTCCTTGCATCCCTCCCCACCAAGCTGACCCTGGGAGTGTCTCCTCTCCTTCAACATCAGCACTAGCTCCTCTGGTTGTGGCTGGCACAGCCCTTGCAGGCGTAGGACGGGCCGCGCGGTAGGACAGGTTTCCAGAATGCCTATTTCATCCATTTCTGTGTTTTGACTTGGAGCCTTCCTGCCGCACCTATACACCTCGTTTGAACTCAGACTCTAGACCGGAGAGACACGGAGGCGCCTTTAAGTCTTTAAGGGAAAGGCGCAGGCAGTCCGGAGAAAATGATAATTTGGGGATGTTTCCTTCTCCCCTGTGGCCTGAGCATTCCTTCCCAGGTCCCAGCGAGTTACGGAAGGAGAATGAATTCTGCCCCCTGCTTAGGCCCTCTGGATGCGGGCCCAGCCGCCGAGGCAGGGAGGGGAAGGGTCTTCAAAGGCGCCCGGAGTTTGCCAAGCGCTGGGTCCGGGTCCGCCCCGCGGGAGGGCGGTGAGAAGAAGGAGGTGGGCGCGTCGGGAGGCCGAGTTGGAACGGCCCTGGCTGGCAGGCTCTCCCGATTGGCTGCCACTGGGTGGGGGCGTGGCGGGAGGGGAGCCTTCTCGCGCTCCCGCCTTCTTTGGGTTCCGCCCATCTCCGAGAGCCGCGCTCTGATTGGAAGCCAGACGTCAGAACTGCTTCCTCTGCCTTGAGAGCCTTGGCGCCCGAGGCCCAAGTGCCGGGGGTGGGGTGGGGAACTGGGTGATGGGGTTGGGGGGGACTGTGGGCGGCTCCTGACTGGCCCAGACGCCTCAGGGGCGGAATCAGGGCAGTGTCCTTAACTGACCTCACCCGCCGTCACGGCCACTCACTCCCTGCTCTCGGCGTCCTTCCAGTATTACCCTGCCTGACTCTGCCCCAGACATTCCCTGAGGCCTGCGGCGTGCTGGGTGGTGGTGTGCTGGGCTCCGAGGGCCGCAAGCTCGCCCCGGGAATCCTCTGTCCCTCTTTCTTTCTCGCTTCTCATTCCTCGCCCACCTACCCCCTCCCCCAGTTATAACTTTCAACCTTGGGGGATGCAGTTCTCACATTTGACCTGACTCCAGCCTCAGCGTGAGGTGCACAGACGGTTCGCTCAGGGTTTGGGACCTGGGATAGGGGAGGTGCACGCCGTTTTGACAAAGAGCAGTTTCCCCACAGAAAGGGGCCTCTGATACCCCGCGAAGAAGACTTCCTCAAGACAGGCGACTTAATCGAAAGTCAGTGCGGGGCGCCTGGGTGGCTCAGTCGTTAAGCGGCTGCCTTCAGCTCAGGTCATGGTCCCAGGGCCCTGGGATCTAGCCCCACGTCGGGCTCCCTGCTCAGCGGGAAGCCTGCTTCTCCCTCTCCCACTCCCCCTGCTGTGTTCCCTCTCTCACTGTCTTTCTCTCTCTAAAATAAATAAATAAAATAAAAAAAAAAAGAAAAGAAAGTCAACAATGCTCCTATGGGAGAAGGGCTGTGCAGGCAGGCACTTTGATTTTAGCACAGGCACTTCTGTCCATCCCGGAACGCAAATATTCAGACGACCGATAAGCGCGTTATTTTGCAGGGCTCACTGAGGGGCAGTGCTGGAGTATGGGGAGGCTCTTGTTTAGGGAACCGGAAGGCATTCACGTTTTATTGTAGCGCACAGTTTTCGGGGACATCGCTCTCGCCGGGGATCCCTAAGAACTCTTAACCCAGCAGTCTTTCAGGACCCGATGAGACAGAAAAGTGTGAAAGGGAACCGCGATACCCATATCGACCTCCAGGGGGCAGCATCGACCAGGAGATGGAGTTGTTCCCAGCTACTTAGTTTTGTTGGCGGCGGCTGCAAAGCTTCTCCCAAGCTACCATCACTGAAACAACTGAAGGAGTTTTCCTTCAGCCTATGCCCGGCCCTTTTAAAAAAGATGTTTTTAGAATGATTTTTTAGAGAGATTGATTTTTATTTATTTATTTATTTATTTATTTATTTATTTATTTATTTGAGAGCATGCATGCGGGGCGAGGGAGAGAATCTTTAGACTCCACGCCCAGCCTGGAGCCCAAGGGTGGGCCGGGTCCTTGAACTCATGTCCCTGAGATGAAGAGCTAAGCCTATTGGGTCTGATGCTTAATTGACTGAACCACCTAGGCGCCCCAAGATTTTATTATTTTTTAAGTAATCTCTTCACCTAAGGTGGGGCCAAACCTACAATTCCGAGATCAAGAGTTGCAAGCTCTATGGACTGCCCCAGCCTAAAAACCCTTTGACGTAGATAGAACCTCGTGATCTCCAGCCTGAAACTCAACTTCTGGTGAACATTACTGCCCCTCAAATTTCTCCAACGCTGCTCAGGGATCTCTGTCTTTTAAAGAAATAGCATTTCCCTCTATTTCTCTACCTCTGTACCCTCGGCTTGCCCTGAGTTATTTCTTACCGGGGCTCTCTGGGAAGCACTTAGTGTTTAACAGCTCTGTATTTGCGCAAAATGGGGGTGCCCATCCCAGGATCAATTTCAGGACTATTGAATGAGGACAAAAGAAATAAGGGACATTCTCCTTCCTCCTCATCCTATTATTGACCCACCCACCCTCCACTTAAGAAAGGTAGCTTTTTTTTTTTTAAAGATTTTATTTATTTATTTCAGAGAGAGAGAATGAGAGATAGCACGAGAGGGAAGAGGGTCAGAGGGAGAAGCAGACTCCCTGCTGAGCAGGGACCCCGATGTGGGACTCGATCCCGGGACTCCAGGATCATGACCTGAGCCGAAGGCAGTCGCTTAACCAACTGAGCCACCCAGGCGCCCGAAAGGTAGCTTTTTTGATTTCAGGAAATCAGTCATAAGGGGAAGCAGGAAAATTAGCTGGATTCCAACATAGATTTGGGGTAAAGGTTCAAGGAAAGAAGGAAAAAGCAAGCCCAAGACAAACTTTGAGGGGGAAGAATAGATGTCAGCTCTCTTTATCCTGGGAATAATGGGTACAGCAATTCATGTTACATTTTGGAGTTCCCCGAGTCTTTCAGATACAGTATTCATTAAACCAAAGCGTATTTATTGATCCCCTTCTGTGTTCTATGATAGGCACTGGAAGGATTCAGCAGAGACTAAATCAAAGTCCTTGATCTCATAGAGTAGACCTTTCATCTCACTGAATTCACACACCTGCCCCGTGAGGAGGTGTTCTTTCTGTTTCATATACTTGAATAAGTAAATGAGTCCCAACAGCACACAGCCACTCAGTGACTTGAAACTTCTCTGTCCACACTCACCTCTTGTTCCATGACTCCAGGCTGGGAGCTGTGGGCCTGTGGCAGTAGCTGTCTGTAGAGAAATAACAAATTAATTCTAAGAAGTAAGAGTAAATTATTGGAAGACATGAAGGAAAAGCTGAACAGGCGGGCTTTGGAAAAGACAGAAGCCAGGACAGTTCCAGGATCTAGGTAGCAGGGACACAGGGTTGCAAGGCTCACAGGCAGGGAGCAACATGGTCTCCTGGCCTGCCTCCCTTTCCACTCAGACATCGCTGGTTCCCATGCAGAACCCTTAACCAAGATCCTAAAGCTCTGTGAATGAGGATCGGGAAAAATTACATTTTATTTTCACTAACGTCGAACTGACATTTAGCATTTCCTTCAATGAAAAGTGTAAGCCACAAATGACAGCAGAATTGGCAGTACCTGTGACTGTCATCGATAGAAATCACAGATGTTTTTATATCACATCACCTTCCAGTTGCAAAAATTTCAAAATGTCATGTGTGCTCATCATTACTTTTTTTTTAAGGTTTTATTTATTTATTTGACAGGGAGAGAGAGAGAGCACAAGTGGGGGGTGGCAGGGAGAGGGAGAAGCAGGCTCCCCACTGAGCCTTCATCATTTATAGTTAGGATAGTGGTTATACTTACACTGAATCCTATCATCTATCACACATTTTTTATTTTGATAACTGTGTTTTAATACAATTGCTTTCTTTTGTAATCCTATGTATTTTATTTTACGCAGTTGACACTCCATAGACTTCATCACACAGCCAAAGGGGTTCCAAACATAAAAAGGTTAATAACTCCTTGAGCTCTGATGAGATGGTGTAGTGTCCTGCTTTGCATTATTTTACAACTGTAGTAATTGGGAAGGTTTTCTTTGTGTTTAAACAAAATGCCCATATTTTCTTGTCTCCATTATTACTCGGTTCAATTATCCATTCATTCATCAAATATATAGGAAACACCTCTCCTGTACAAAGCTATGCTGCTCAAAACTCTGCTAGTGTGTGCAAAATAATCCTCACTTGCTATGGCTTCTCCCAGTCTGGGAGAGGAGCTGGACTATTGACTCACATGCGTCCCCCGGGCTGCAGCTTACTGACTGCAGGGCAGAGGGAGGGAGGATTGCCCCAGTGCAGGCAGCAAGAGGGTGCGTTGCTGTAGAAAATTTTAAGATAATACTGAAACTCACTTTTTATTGTTCCCATGCACCAGCCATTCTGCAACAGTGTTAGTGACAAAACACTCCTCCCTGTGGTGCTGTCCCCTTCCACTTCACCCTGGTTAGTTGGCCACTGCACACACGGGAGTTTAACGGTGTCCAGTTTACACACACATACACACACACACACCCTCAGAGCCTTTTGAGACTTCCCTTTCCCTC